TATATTAAGGTGAGGCACACGCTTGATGACAAGCGTGGGGTCGTGCACTGTTGGGGATTGTGACTTAGTTCGTCCCGAATGACTATTTTACCACATATTTGACTGAAACCTATTTGCTATCATCATGATTTGAGCGGAATACCATATTTGGGCCTTGTGCCACCTATTTGAACCCTTCGAGGATTTTTATTGGTATTTCCTCACTGTTGACTTTATACTTGAACTCAGTCATGTTATTTTCCACTATTTTTCATACTCAGCCATATTTACTCAATTTTAATACTTTAATGATATTTTAAATAATGTTTGGCTCAGAAACACATGTTTTACTATTGCCCGAGTGGCTTGTAAGGATTTTGACTGAGTAAGGTCGAGGGCCTATGTTGTGAGGAAATATTTGATACCGATTGTGAGGCCGAGGGCCTGAGATATGTATGCCACGAGGTGGCTTGATATTGTGCTTGGGCCGTAAGGGGGACCCTCCAGAGTCTGTACACCCCCAGTGAGCGCGGGTACCCATTATGATGTGAGATTTAGCCCGAGGGGCTGGTATTGTTCTATGTGATTGCCCGAGAGGCTGGTACTGCTCTGAGATGTTGCCTGAGGGGCGGATTTATTGATATTGTGCCCGAGGGGCGAGATTTTATGTGTTTACTTTTCATAATTGACTGTCAATTACCTGCTTAATTATTGAAAAAGGCTTTTCATGAAACTATGTTTGAGTTACAGAATTTTATCTATCTTTCTCTGGTTTACTGTTTGAATCATTTTACTGCTTCATTATAGAATGCTTTGTGCCTTACGTGATTTCTTGCTTTCAGTCCTTATTTACATTTGTTAATCATTGAGTTGGAGTACTCATTTTACTCCTTGCACCCCTGTGTGCAGATTCAGGCGTTATTGATCCTGCCAATGCGAGTTGAGAGCTTCCGGCGGACATTCGGAGTTCACGAGGTAGCTGCTTGACGTCCGCATTCCCGTGTTTCTCCCTCTTTATCATTTCCATTTCTTATCAGACATTTGTAATAGTTTATGGATTTTTCAGACTTGTATTAGGTTTTATAGATGCTCATGACTAGTGACACCCCGGTTTTGGGATATGTTGGGTTGTTCTTCTGCATATTTATCATATTATCTACTACTTATTATTATTAAACCATGTTTTAGACGGTTTTCTTGTTGTTTAACTGTTTAACATTGAATTGAGAATAGTTAGCTAGCCTTATCTTCACGAGAGGCACCATCACGACCGGGTCCGGGTTTAGGATCGTGACAACAAGTCTATCAATCCCTAAAAGAACCTCGAGAGCAATTGTATCTTCTTTTCTTGTTCATTGACACTTATCTTGCATAGTACTAACACATACAGGTACTTTCAAGACTTCTTCAGGAAGTTTTTGTTAATCCCAAGACTACTTTTAAATAAAAGACAACACATTAATTTTGAAAAGAAAAGGCTACAGATTGAATGCAAGTAGTGAGACTTTTTCTCTGACCAGTAGTCTTTTCTTGTCAAAAATAATGTATGCGTACATTTCTTTAAATAGTATATAATATAATTTAAAAGCGGTCAAGACACTTTGATTTGTCAAAACTAGAAACTTTGATTTGCACACAGAGGGTCCTTTGGTTGCCGGTTAGATTTATGCAGGTATTAGTTATTCATGTATTAGTTATGTATGTATTAGTTATGCAAGAATAAATAATACAGGGATTAGTTATGCATATATTAGTTATATATGGATTAGTTATGCAAAGATTATTTTTTGAAGATTAGTTGTATATGGTCGGGTTCTTTTAGGGATTGATAGACTTGTTAAGATCCTAATTAGTATATATAATTTTTCATCAAGTATATCTGTGTGTAAATTGATTCATCGACTTATAACCTACTCATATGCATCATTGAATATTAAAAACAAAATGTCTCCACCTACATATATATATATATATATATNCATCCCTTATATTACAAAAGTATTCACGGATTACATTTATATTATTTAGATAGTAAATACAAAAGTGATTTTTAATTTTGACCAATGTTGACCTGAAAAGAGACCAACTTTGGTCGCTAATTATTCAGAATTAAAAAATAGCGACCAACGTTGATCGCTAATTATCCATAATTAAAAAATTGCGACCAACGTTGATCGCTACTTGCTTTCCCTTTCATAACCGACCAACTTTGGTCGCTAACTTTGAATTATATTTATTTATATTTTATAATTTTTTAAAATAATAATATAATTATTAAAATTTTACAACTGGGTCCCAGATTAGCGACCAAAGTTGGCCTCTATCTGCTTCCCCTTTCGTAAGCGACCAACTTTGGTCGTTAATTTTAAATTATATTTATTTATATTTATAATTTATTTTAAATAATAATATAATTATTAAAATTTTATAGGTGGGTCCCACTTTACTTTGGTCGCTAATTTCAGTATTTCTTTGACCAAGCAAGTCTGACCAGTCCGGTCAACATTTTGACCACATTATCGACCAAAAAGCGACCAACGTTGGTCGGTAATGTTTTTAGAATAATTATTTAATTATTTTCTCAATTTAGCGACCAATTTTGGTCGTTTTTCTTGACAGGCCAATTTTGGTCGCCAAATTTTGGTCGTTTTTTCCCGGATTCCTAGTAGTGAAAATATCATTAAGATAGGAGGATTAATGAGATACAATTGGTTTTATGATTTTTGAAATATTGAAGCATTTTCTTTTTAATCAACGACATCATCCATCTCAAAAAATCATGAATTCTTTTATTTATAGTTTCTTATTTTTTTGGGGAATAATTTCAAAGACTTGTGGGCTTAGCATAACAAAAATGTTTGGTTGGTTAACAAGTTATGAGAATGACTGGGTTATAACATGTGAATTCGTTATTTTACAGATCACCTAGACATTAGAAGGGTAGATTGTGTCTTTGTCCGATTTTTGTTTGTGAAAATATCTGGTTCTTTAACCTATAGATTTCTATACCAAACACGAAGTAAACTGCAGAAACTTAAAGATACGTGCGATTTCACGTGAAAAACCTCCTTGCTCAAAGGGAGTAAAATATGACCTACCCGTGTATGATTTTCTCAAACTTCACTAACAACAAGAGTAGCTTTTAGGATACAACACAATAACCAAGGGACTATAAACTCTAGTACCTTAACCCTTACAATCAATTCAATTATAGCTATTTCTCCTAGACAATAAACTATAGCCTAGAACTCCAAAATAAATTATCATAATTGTTTGCCTACGATTATACTTCTCAAAAGCAAAATAGGTTACAATCAATGAACAATGAACCAAGGCTTAAACAACTAAAGAACTAGACAAATTCTTCATCATTAAATTTTTCAATTGAGTAGCTCGAATCCTGCAGCGTCTTGCTTTGATTGCTATTTGTCATCATTGATTTTGTAGTAGAGCTGTGAAAATATGATGAGTCTTCAATAGCTGCAATGCAAAGCTTTTATAGGGGTAAGGTTGGCTAATTCTTCAATTTAAGCTCCAAAACTTAAAAAAATTTGGACTTGGTTTCCTTAATTATCTCCAGCTCCACACACCTTTTTCTTTATGCAAGTGTAACAATATTAACGAATCTGTATTGCACATGAATCCTTCAGTTGATACAGTACTTGTAGACCACAAAATAAATCTTTCGAAGAATCCGACTTGCGCTAGGAATCAATTTGTAGTTCTTGATCAAAGCACTCTAAGGGACCTGGTTCTTTCGATAAATACTTGACACATCTACAGCTCTATTAGTTTGTACATCAAATATATTCAAGAGACTTGGTTCATTGACAATACTTTTAAATCATCAAACCAATATTTAAGCTCAACTCACAAGATTAAATAATGTTAGAATTATTTAGTGAATATACTTTTACTATTAGAATTTTGATTAATTGGAAAAATAAAATATAAGGGATAATATAAATATGTGTATGATTTTATAGTAAATTGGGATAAACTTTTATTTTTAATTTTAAACATTTTTAACGGACTTGGGGAGAAGAATCATGGAGAAGGGTATTTTGGTTATTTTGATATTTTATCCTAAAAGTAGTAATTTCAATATTATTATGCTACATTGAAGATCATATAAAATAATATCATAATTATAATATAACTAATTTTGAAATTAAAAGTTCGATCAAACACAAATAAAATAATCTCATATTATATTCTATAATTATAGTTTCTTATCCCACAAACAAAACAACCCCTAACCGTCACAGATTGATGTCATATACTAACATAACTAGTCAATGCTTCCACTCACCAACCAAACAGCCCCTAAACGACATAAAAAATGTTTTTTCAAATAGGAAAAAAAAAAAAAGAAGAAAAAAACAAAGAGATAAGCATAGAAGTTCTCATGAAAAGGAATTACATGTTGTCAAACAAAGGAAACAACATCCTGCAAACCTTACTGGAATCGTCATCAATATTCTATGGCAAAAGATCTAAAATTAACAAAGCCTAAAGTTTAATATTTAAAAAGGAAAAATGAGATAGAATATCGTAAATCACAAATGAGGTTAGTATTATCTAAAGAGATTAGCAATTGACAGTAATTGATTCACTATTCCTTTCATTGATATTGACAAATATATACAGATTACAACATATAATTTGCCAAGAATAAATAAAATCAAATCCCTCTAATTAAGGGATTATTACAATAGAAAAGGAAAAAGTCAAATCCCCTGCAAACAGATGGGAGGAACTACCATCAGTTTGGCCTTTAAATGAAGAAACCGTTGCTTGGACAATGGTTTTGTTAGGACGTCAGCTAGCTGATCAGCTGTGGGAATGTACGACACCTGAAGATGTTTCTTTCTGACTTGATCTCGTACAAAATGAAAATCCAGTTCAAGGTGTTTTGAGCAGGCGTGGAACACTGGATTGGCTGCTAGATATGTGGCCGACACATTGTCGCACCAGATTCTTGGAATGGTATGAAGGGGTTGCTGGAGCTCTCTAAGAAGTCATTGCAGCCAGTAAACTTCAGATGCTGTTGATGCTAAGGCACAGTACTCTAAATCTGTGCTAGATCGAGCAATTGTGTTTCGTTTCTTCGAACACCATGAGATGACATTAGTGCCATGTAAGACAAGATAAGCTGAGGTACTTTTTCGGTATATTTTATCACCACCCCAATCCGCATCAGAAAAAGCAAACAGAGTTGGAGATCTTGAAGGTTTGAGAATAGGACCATGATCTATTGTTCCTTTGAAGTACCTGAGTATTCGTTTCACGGCTAGCCAACGATTTACGGAGGGTGAGTGTATAAATTGAGCTGCCTTGTTGGCTGCCATGGTAATGGCAGGTCGAGTGAGGGCTAAGTATTGAAGCGCTCCCACCACTTAACGAAATAATGTGGGATTTTCAAAGTTATTGGAAGAATCCTTGGATATGATTGTTTGTGGAGAAGATGATGTGGACACATGTGTAGCTTCATGCATATTCACACGTCTCAAGAGATCTGAGATATACTTGGATTGGGAGAGTTGAAGACCATTTGTTAGCCACGTCACTTCTATTCCAAGAAAATATGTGAGCGAACCCAAATCTTTAAGTGCAACAGCTGAACCAAGTTGCTGAATGATTTTTGGAGAAGACTAACTGTGGATCCTGTCAAAATTAGATCATCAACATACACAAGGCAGTAAGCAATATTTTTTCCAGAGGAGTAGATAAAAAGAGAGTTGTCAGCCTTAGATCCTTTAAAACCAATATTTTCTAATGCTGTTGTGAGGCAAAAGTACCATGCCCGTGGAGCTTATTTTAAACCATACAATGACTTCTTTAATGAACACACATGATGTGGGTTGGTGCGATCAACGAAGCCTTAGGGCTGCTCCATGCATACTGGTTCTTCAAGTATCCCATGAAAGAATGCATTTGATACATCAAGCTGGCGGATAGGCCAATTGGAGTTTACTGCAATAGATAAAATAAGACAAACCATGGCTGGTTTGATGATGGGGCTAAAGGTTTCAACATAATCCATACATGGTCTTTGATGAAAACCTTTAGCCACGAGTCTAGCCTTGTAACGATCAACTGAGCCATCCGGTTTGGTCTTGATGCATTAAATCTACTTGCAACCTATTACATTTGTGGCTTGTGATCTTAGTACCAATTCCCATGTCCCATTGGCCATTAAGGCATCTATTTCCTCTAACATTGCTTGATTCCAAATTTGGTGTTTTGCTGTCTCTTGATAAGTGGTTGTGGTGGTGAGAGCGGCGGATTGTAGTATGATGAACTTTGGGTTTCGGTATCCAGTTTGGGACCTTGTAACCATGTGGTGCTTGTTTTGAACATTTGTATCTTGGTTTGGAAGTATTATGGAGCCAATTGTGAATGGAGAAGGTGGTTGGGGTGCACTGGGAGGTATTGGATTTGCAATTATGTTGTTGGCAGGTGAACTATGACGGTTAGTTGATTCTGGTGATGCTTATGTTGGTGTTATTTGTGGAGAGGGGATGTCATTGGGTGCTGGTTGGTGGGGTAATGATGTGGTAGGTTGTCCAAGAGAAAAAATAGAAAGTGGTGCTGGCGTTGGACCGAGAATTGAAGATCTCCCATCACTTTCTTTAAATGGGAACACCTATTCATCAAATAAGACATGGCGCGAGTAAAACATTTTATTGGTAGATAACAACAAACATTTATAACCCTTATGAAGAAGACTATATCCAAGTAACACACATTTGGTAGAACGAGGTTCAGGTTTATTTTTGGCGTAAGGACGAAGCCATGGATAACAACAACAACCAAAAATATGAAAAAAGTTATATTTCGGGACACGTCGAAAAATCAATTGGTAAGGTGATTTGTGGTTGAGTTTTGGGATAGGTAAGCGATTTATTGTGTAAACTGCAGCGGCAAAGGCATGATCCCAATATTTTGGTGGTACTGATGAATGGTATAAGTAAGCTCATCATGTTTCAGTGATGTGGCGGTGTTTGCATTCAGCACATCCATTTTGTTCGGGTGTGTGGGGGCAAGAGCTTCTTTGTGCAATGGCATTTTCAGCTAAGTAGTGTTGTAGTGCTTGGTGTTCCACTCCCCAATCTGATTGAAATTGTTTAATGGATTTTCCAAAAAAATTTCAACTAAAGCCCGAATTTAACAAAACATTGAACACATCAGATTTGCGGCGAAGAAAATATATCCATGTGTACTTGGTATAGTGATCAAATAAGAGTACATAATATAAGCAACCATCAGAAGAAGGAATTGGAGTAGGGCCCCATAGATCAGAACAAATTAGTTCTAATGGTTCTTTGGCATTATAATTAGAAATACGAAATGGTAGTTCGTGTGATTTGCTAGCACAACATGTTTCACACAGAGATGAAGTACTCTTGGCAGAAGCAAACAATTTATTCAAAGATAAAACTTTATTAATAGTTCATGAGCAAGCATGGCCTAATCTAGCATGCCAAGTGGACAAAGAAACTGAATTACAAACTGGAGAAACATGATCTGAAGTCAATTGATAGAGCCCATCCTTAGTGTGTCCCCAATGAAGTGGCTACTTCGTTTTGAGGTCCTTAATCAGAAAAAAATTTGGGAAAAGTTCAACAGAGACATCGTTAGAAATTGTGAACTGACGGACAGATAATAAATTTGTGTTGGATTTTGGACATGAAGAATATTATCCAAGGGAAAATTTTGAGAATTGAGAGAAATATTATTCGAACCAACACGAGTAAATGAGTAGGGTTTTACCATTGGTGAGTGTTGCGGAAGCCAAATGTATATAGTGTGAATAAGTCACAACTACTATACCAAAAATTATGACAACCACCAAATAATAAATAAGACAATAAAACAACAATAAATGAAACACAAGAATTTACGAGGTTCGGCTAATTTTGCCTACTCCTCGGACACAACCAATATTTTATTTCACTCCAAAAATACAAGTGAAATAATACTAAAGAGAGAAGATACAAATGCCTTAAACAGATGAGAAGGCAAATGAGAGGTGTGTTTAAATCCTAAACATTAAGCCTTCTTTTATAGGGGAAAAATCCCCCCAACTGTTGATAACCCACCGATGTGGGAATCTGAAATTTTGACATTTCAACAAATCTCCACCTTGACAAAAATTCCACGTCTTCAATTTTCTCTCTATAA